GAAAACACTTTCTGAAAAAAAAAAAAAAAAAAAAAAAAGACCTTGTGAAGTTCATGACTTGCAGCTGGTGCCTGCAGTGTGGGGACAACCTTGTGAAGACCTTTGTGCTAACTCCCAATACTTAGGATCAAAATTGAACTGAATTTTAGGATACCTAGCTAGTGTCAGATGTGTCAGAACAGTTGTGCTGTAGTGGGTGCTTGGGTATGTTAGTCTGCCCAATTTCCCCATTCAGGACCGAGATACTTATTCCTCTGGCTAAAGGAAGGAGGTTTTGGTTAGGACTATTCATAGTTAAAATTTCCCTTTCTGGGAGATGCCTATCAGAAGCAAGCTGAATTCCCCTGGTCACTTCTCATTCCTGGTACAGCCTAAATCCAATGACTAGAGCAGCATGATCCCTCCTACCTCAGTGCAGACCAACTGTGAGGAGCTAGCCTAGCTCCAGGCTCCCTGTGGGATCAGCCAAGGGCCTAGTGACAAGAGCATTGAGTTAAATTTCTTCTGTCCAGTCCTGCTTTCCTCACTCTCTCGTAGATGGTATTTCTAAAAGTGCACCCGGCAAACCTCCTATACACAAACCTCCATCTCAATTTTCCTAGGGAGCCAGACCTAGAGTAGGGGCACTATGAACTCTTCTATTTCCTTTAAAATATATAGTCTTCCTCAAACTTATTTGACAATAGAATCCATTTTCTTTTCTTTTAGAGAGATTTTTGCTATATGGCAAGTGCTCTCACTGGAGACACAGAGAGAGATAGAGAGACAGAAAATGAGAAGTCCCTCTCCACGAGGGATGGCCATACTCCAATCTCTTCTCCTCTATTCTCCTTTCAGGATTTTGGGCACACACACACACACACACACACACACACACACACACATGCCTGATGTGAGTTTTAAGCCGTCGTGTCTGGGACTCGAACTGTGGTCGACTAATTGGGAGTCTAGCAACATACCCACTATGCCATCCATTTTCCATTGTATCAGGTGGAATGAATGTGCTCCTAACTGACTGGCTTTCAGAAGCAAGAGTTGCCACTGACTGATTTGCAGAAGTCTTCTCTGAAGCAAGTTGTCCTTGGTGGATTAAAAAAGTCAAAATGTGATAATGGTGGTTACTTATTTCCATGACTCTAGAACAATCAGTTTTTTCTCTGAGAGTGTGGGAATTTATTTTTATATTCTCAGGGAGTTACTGTCTTTACTATTTTTTTCTCTCTTTTTATTTATGTATTTTTTCAAGGTTTTTGCCATAGGGCATGTGTGCTTGCTGGAGAGAGACAGAGAGAAGGAAAGTGAGAAATCACACACCCTCTCCCCCCAGGGGTTATGGTCATGCTGCAATCCTTTCTCCTCCATTCTCCTCGCAGGATTTTGGGCATGTATGCCCATATGCCTGGAGTGATTTTCCAGCTGTCAGGTCTAGGGTTTGAATTGCTGTCAGGCATGTGGGAGTCCAGTGCCTTAACCACCATGCCACAGGCTGGGCCCTGTCTGAACCATTTTTTTTTTTTTTTAAGTTTTATTTATTTCATGAGGGAGGCAGAGAGAGAGAAGCACCTTTAATAAAATCTCTAGTTGCGATTCTGTCCCCAGCCTTCCCAGCTAGCCAGGATTGTGGGCGTATGCATGCACTTGCCTGCCGTATTCAAGTTGACCTGGGAACAGACCACGATCTTCCATATGGTTTCCAGCATTGCAGAGAAACGTGCTACTGCTACTCCGCCATGGCTGGGCCTCTTTACCATTATCAAACAGCATAAGAAAACAAACTTAGAAGATTAAGTAATTGGCCTGAGATAAAGAAAGAGAGAAACGATTCATGTTTTTAGATTTTTTTTTTTCTTTTTCTTTTTTTCTTTTTTTGGAGAGGTTTTCGCTATAGGGTGCATGCGCTCGCCAGACAGGCAGAGAGAGATATAGAGACAGAAAGCGAGAAATTACCCCCCAGGGGGGATGGTCACGCCCCAATTCCTTCTCCTCCATTCTCCTCTCGGGATCTTGGGCACGCATGCACACGCGCCCGGTGTGAGTTCTAAGCCACCGGGTCCAGGACGCGAACCGCGGTCTACTATGTGGGAGTCCAGCGATATAGCCATTACACTAACTGCTGGTTCCTATGTTTTTAGATATTAAAACTTACTACAAAGCTATAAGAAACCAGGACAGTGTGGCAATAGCCTAAGGATAGACAAG